ACCAGTAATATTTACTATTCTCGAAGCAGGTTTTACTCTTGACAGCAGTATCTATTGTTCTACAAGCAGTACCGAAGATTTTTAAACAGTTTGTAGTATTTTTAGCAATATGTATCTAGTTTTCTGCCAACAGTATTAAGTATTCTGCAAGGTGTTTATAGACTTTTGTCAGCAATATTTACAGTTCTGGAAGCAGTTTCTAAAGTTTTAAAATATTATCTAGTCGTTTTTCAAGAAACAGTATTTAATCTTCTGACAACAAAATCTAATGTTCTGCAAACACTATCCACAGTTTTTAAACAGTTTCTAGAAATTTTAGTAGTATCTAGTCTTCTGCCAGCAGTATTAAGTATTCTGCAAGGAATTTATAATCTTGTGACAGCAATATTTAGTGTTCTGGAAGCAATTTCTATTATTTAAAGCAGTATCCATTGTTCTAGAAGCAGCTTTTTAAGCTGTTTTTAGTGTTTTTAACAGTCTCTAGTCTTCTGCCAGTAGTATTAAGTATTCTGCAAGGAGATTATAATCTTTTGACACCAATATTTATTGTTCTGGAAGCTGTTTCTAGCATTTTAAACACTATCTAGTCTTCTGTCAGTAGTATCCATTATTCAACAAGCAGTTTTTAGTCTTTTAAACAGTTTCTAGTATTTTTAACAGTCTAGCAGTATCGTCTAGTAGTATTCAATATTATACAAACAGTGTCTAAGGTGTTTAAACAGTTTCTAGTGTTTCTAGCAGTAACTAATTTTCTTCAAACAGTATTAAGTATTTCCTAAGGTGTTTGTAGTCTTTTGACAGTGGTATCCACGGTTATGAAAGCAGTTTTTAGTTTTCTGTTAGCAGTATTTAGTGTTCTGCAAGCAATATTTAAGTCTTTTAAGCAATATCTGGTCTTCTAGTAGTATCTAGTCTTCTGTCACCAATATCATCTAGTGTTCTACAGGCAGTTTTTAGTGTTCTACCAGCAGTATCTAGAGTTCTGCAAAAAATATCTAAGTTTTTTAAACAATATCTTTTTTTTTAGTAATATCTAGACTTCTATTACCAATATCCAGTGTTGTGTAAGCAGTTTTTAGTGTTCTACCAGCAGTGTATAGTGTTCTGCAAGCAATATTTAAATTTTTTAAGCAGTATCTGGTTTTTTAGTAGTAACTAGTCGTCTATTATCAATATCCAGTGTTGTGCAAGCAGTTTTGAGTGTTTTGCAAGCAGCTTTTAGTGTTCTACCAGCAGTACCTAGAGTTCTGCAAAGAATATCTAAGTTTTTTAAGCAATATCTATTTTTATTTAGTAATATCTAGACTTCTATTATCAATATCCAATGCTGTGTAAGCAGTTTTTAGTGTTCTACTAGCAGTGTATAGAGTTCTGCAGGCAATATCTAAATTTTTTAAGCAGTATCTGGTTTTTTAGTAATAACTAGTCTTCTATTATCAATATCCAGTGTTGTGCAAGCAGTTTTTAGTGTTCTACCAGCAGTATCTAGAGTTCTGCAAAGAATATCTAAGTTTTTTAAGCAATATCTATTTTTATTTAGTAATATCTAGACTTCTATTATCAATATCCAATGCTGTGTAAGCAGTTTTTAGTGTTCTACTAGCAGTGTATAGAGTTCTGCAGGCAATATCTAAATTTTTTAAGCAGTATCTGGTTTTTTAGTAATAACTAGTCTTCTATTATCAATATCCAGTGTTGTGCAAGCAGTTTTTAGTGTTCTACCAGCAGTATCTAGAGTTCTGCAAAGAATATCTAAGTTTTTTAAGCAATATCTATTTTTATTTAGTAATATCTAGACTTCTATTATCAATATCCAATGCTGTGTAAGCAGTTTTTAGTGTTCTACTAGCAGTGTATAGAGTTCTGCAGGCAATATCTAAATTTTTTAAGCAGTATCTGGTTTTTTAGTAATAACTAGTCTTCTATTATCAATATCCAGTGTTGTGCAAGCAGTTTTTAGTGTTCTACCAGCAGTATCTAGAGTTCTGCAAAGAATATCTAAGTTTTTTAAGCAATATCTATTTTTATTTAGTAATATCTAGACTTCTATTATCAATATCCAATGCTGTGTAAGCAGTTTTTAGTGTTCTACTAGCAGTGTATAGAGTTCTGCAGGCAATATCTAAATTTTTTAAGCAGTATCTGGTTTTTTAGTAATAACTAGTCTTCTATTATCAATATCCAGTGTTGTGCAAGCAGTTTTTAGTGTTCTACCAGCAGTATCTAGAGTTCTGCAAAGAATATCTAAGTTTTTTAAGCAATATCTATTTTTATTTAGTAATATCTAGACTTCTATTATCAATATCCAATGCTGTGTAAGCAGTTTTTAGTGTTCTACTAGCAGTGTATAGAGTTCTGCAGGCAATATCTAAATTTTTTAAGCAGTATCTGGTTTTTTAGTAATAACTAGTCTTCTATTATCAATATCCAGTGTTGTGCAAGCAGTTTTTAGTGTTCTACCAGCAGTATCTAGAGTTCTGCAAAGAATATCTAAGTTTTTTAAGCAATATCTATTTTTATTTAGTAATATCTAGACTTCTATTATCAATATCCAATGCTGT